ATAGGGAACAAATTCCACGCTTCACTTTAATGTCTTAAGGCTATAAAAGAAGAGTCAGCAGCTTCACTGACAAGGACCACAACCTCAAACACGGTTAAATAAAGTTTGATAGTAGATGAATGAAAGATGGATGGGGTGAGCGATGAACTAGGCCTGAGGCCACAGTTGGAGTTAGGCCTCACTGAACATCTGAGGCCAGTGAGGCAGGGTGACAAACTGAGAATGAGTGAGGCAGGGTGGGGCACTGAAACGAGAACAAACAGGGCAAGGCATGCTTACCTTGTGTCCTTCAGGAACATGGCCTTTAACGACTGACAGGATGTCATGAAGAGTCAGTCCGGTCATCCCGTCTTCACTCATACCCACGGTATCACACAGCACCAGCCCAGTATGATCCTCACCCTTCTTACCCCGAATGTTGAAGGACTGCAGCTGGCACACACAAAAAGGAAGTTAATAGGACAGAAACCTAAAGTTTAGTTTCATTGACCTGGATGAAGAGAGGCCTTGTGGATGCTTTCCCTTTTTGAAATGCTTAAATAATCTCATCAAACTATTAGCCTTAAAGGCCAGACGAGGATCTGTGTGTTTATTTTTCCTCTTATTTAATATACATGCAGATGCTCCTCGTGTACCTTTTTGGTAAAACCGGATGAGAAGGAGCCCACCATGGCCCGGTTGGTGACTCTTCCGTTAAACACAGACTGGACTGAACTGATGAAGCTCGACTTTCCAGAACTGACCGGGCCCAGGAGGAGAACCCGGGCCTGAGGCACCTCCTCACAGCTCCGTCTGTAGGAGGTGATTGTCTCCATCAAGCTTGTCCTTCGCCTGGGTTCAGTGATACATTCAGTGACTCATTGTGTTTGACAGTTTAAAAATGCACTTACTTGACATCTACTAGTTTCTGCTAACTGAACAGGAGCTCACTGAACAGCACAACTGTACTCACTCTTCTGTCCAGTCCATGTTTCTCCAAGGAGATTCCAACTTCAGTCGACCTCCTGAAAAGAATGTAAGAATTGCGGTTTGACAAAATAGCCAGTATTTGCTGTATTTATATAAACTCCTAACATTCATCGAGGCTTGGGTTAAAAGCAGTGGCATTCAGTGACTTCAGCAAAGACCCCCCCCTCCCCACCGCAAACCCCCCCTCCCCAAAAAACACTTTCCTCCTGTCTTTGAAAATTCGACTAGTATCAAACATACCATTCTGACAGCTTTTTCCTGAACTCTTCCTGGGTGTCCTCCCTTTTGGCCACTCCTTCCTCGCTAAAGAATTGTAAAATTGTATTACTACTATAGTTGTCATCTAACTAAACTTAGTTAATTTACTATTTGCTGACAATGGTAGAGGATTTTTTTCAGACCCATTAGCAAAAGTAACAATAAAACACAATAAAAACACTTCACTACACATAAAACTGTATTACTAATAACTCACAAAAAATAAGCAAAAATAATTATTCTACAGAAAAATGTAGTTGTTGTCCTTCTCTTTTTTAAAAGAAAGGAAAAAAACACCTTTTAACCAGCTCAGAAACACAGATTTCAGCAGCTCTGTAATCAAACATTCTGCTTCCAGAGATAATAAACAATTGTGACCACAAGATGGCAGTAATGCAAAGAATGAATGGTAACAGGCATTACAGAAGCTTCATGTCAGAATGATGTTTAAGATGAAAGAAAAAAACCCATTT